AAAGCACAATGTGGAAAGTAACTGACGTAAACAGGAAACTATGTGCACCGCTGGATCTGTGTTCCACAACAATGCTTATACACTGGAACGACGAGGACACGGTTCGAAGGAATGCAAATCGAAAGTGACCACTAATGGCCCATTGTTTTCTTCGGTTTACAAAAGGATAACGCGCTATGGGCACCTCTCAAAGTGAAGAAACCGTGCCCAACCCTCGTGACTGAGATAGTCCAAATAGAAAATAGCACATTTGTGCTTCCGCAGCCTAACAAGATGTTAAGTCATCCCAAAATCAATTGACTTTTCCTGATGCCATTCCAGAATTTTCCGGAACTTCTCGAAGATTCTTCTATATAGGTTTATAATGGGATATACTTGGGCAATAATCTGAGTGTTCATTTATGCAACATTTTAGCAATTGCTGTGGTATTTCCAAATGATCAACATGCTGGTTGCGGATGCTTGTTGTACGAGTTCCTACAAGGGCGCAAAGTGGTCGAGATTTGTTGAAACATGTGTGGTCTATTAAGCATAGATCCTGCAAGTTACGATATGGTGACATTTTAGTTTCCCCGATTAAAAATAGGGAACTACGAAGTGTTGCTTGTTTAAAATAAAAAAGGATTGAAAACGTGTGCTAAAAAGGTCACTTGATGTCGAGACAGACTAATAGATAAAAAGAACCATTGGCTGACACGTTTTCATACCATGCAAAAGTTCGCTCAAGTAATGGTGTGCAAAACCCAACAAACATCCTCCACTGTGACAGCGAATACAAGACAGTCAGTAACAAGATGTACTCCGCCTGAGGAGTCGTGCTAAGTAGTCTATATAACTTTGCAGTGGTTTTGTTAATGCGATATGGTTAATCAAGATTTTACAGCATAACACAGAGAAGGTCGTTCGCAGCGATAACCTAGCGGTGTAAGTTGTCCGTTACTTAAAAGATACCCGATGGTTCTGAACATCGAGCACACCACGCAAAACCAAGCCAATTATACTCAATGGATTTCAATTTAAGGGACATTATAAGTTCAAAATGATTTGGAATACTGGTAGCTCGGGAGGCTTGTTCAGTTGTTGTGGAGTCCTCCAAGCTGAGCAACTTGATTGCAAACGTTTCGCAATCATTCGAGGTGGCATCTTCAGTGCGGGATTGGTAGCAGTTAAGTAGCAGTAGCTGGTAGAAAGCAAACCAAATCCCGCACTGAAGATGCCACCTCGAATGGTGGCGAAACGTTTGTACTTAAGTTGCCCAGCTCGAAGAACTCCACAACAACTGAACTTTGCAAGTGATTAATTCCCCCAGCAAATTACAGTTTTCCATCTTCACTAAAGATTGACAACTCATAAGTGGCCTAACCCAATTTGCTCCATGTATGTGTAAGAAATTCGCAGATACCCCTTGAAAACGTGCATCTAGATTTTTCGATTGACTTGTAACCGATACATTCACAAATTTTTGTCAAGCATTTGATCATAAAATATAGAGGAGTACTTCGTTCTCTCTAGAAAACCATTCATTTCACTTCTTTCGTGTATCACCAGTGTCCTTTTAAATAAAAACCGTATAGTTATTAAATTCTTCTGATTAGCTTTTAATCGATGTTCTTTGCATGACTGTATCTCCACGATCATTCCTAAACAGGCGTAGCCCCCTGCGTCATGAGTAAACGTTTATTTGTTCCTGTTTACTTGATCATGTCTGTACCGGCGTGTCTCATTCCATCGAGAATAAAACTTTATTTATTTATTTCTCCAGTGGATTTACGCCCCCACCGGTTAGTGACTGCAATGCGCCCTTGCGGGTTACCAGTGGAGGAATCGATCACGCCACCAGCATAGTTTAATTTTAGAGTCCATACACTGCTATCCGACGGGTCCCGTCAAGCTGTTACTTCGTAAGTGTATAGGTAGCGATACATCGCATCTGGACTCAGTCTCATAGTTATCACACATCCGGAAAAGCACCGTACGGTGGTTTCATACTTTCGGGAATCGTCAGCAGTCCGCATTCCATCTGACCCCTGTGAGGTTCGAACACGCAACTCGACTGTTGCGAGTCTATGGTGAGATCAATGAGCTATGGGGGGCGGCAATCACCATCGTGAATAAGTCACTAGATGTGATATAGCGCCGGTCACTGTCCACTGACTTTCAGGTTACTGCCGTGCAGAGGACATGGTGGCTGTCTGATTGAGTCGTGATGTATTTCTGCCTATACCATTCAACTCCCTTATTACTCCATTATCTTCTTAAGAGATCCGTCATTCACCTTGTCCATCGGTCTACAGCGAAGACCAGTGCCAAACCTATCTGACACAAACAGAATCCTAAGAGTGCACAGCCATCGTCGAACAACGTACCGAGCTGATAAATTACCGTCGTTCGAGGAAAACTTCTAAACAACTTTTCCGAATAGCTCCGTTCCAATACGTAGGGGGATAACGACGTGAATGCGTTCAGATTAGCAAACGTTTAGAACAAATTCAGAACCACTGAATGCAATAAAAAGATTGCTAAACGTCTCAGAAAGTGCCGGACCACATCACCATTCTGACCACAACGCACATTAGTACGTATTTGGAAGTATACGGAATAGTTCACTAGCGGTGATCTGTATACCGAAGAGGACGGATGACACCTACCAACAGAGAAAGCTCTGTCTCCTCGATATGCTCAGTAAAGTAGGCTCCAAGGGGTAGACGAACGAATCAACCTTTTCTCTTACGCGGAGTGTCGGTAGCCCACATAAACCCTTTGTGGTTGACAAAGCTCAGTGTAGCAAGTGTAGTGGGTGACCGTTCCCTGACATCGGCACGCCGGTATCAAACAGTGTAGAAAATGGTAAGACACAAGCGCATATGCGAGCCACTGCTGCTTTCAAGCACACAACGTCAACCAAAGTTGGCGCACATCTGAGCCTGACAGCGCGTCATCCATGGGTGGGAAAGAATGGGCGATCGTCGGCGACGCGCATGGAATAGGGGCTACTAAGTGAGTGAAGTCGCTGGAGGGGTCATTTTGAAGCACCCATTGTGGGTGAATGGATTGCGACGCGCAAGCTCGATGTGGACCGCGATTCGCACTGTAGTAAATCTTGGCCAACTCGATCACTGGGACCGTAACTGATGAAGCAGAAGGATCTTGGGTGTTGCCAGCCCGAAAGCACTGCACTCCATGACTCGTTTCGATGCTATTTCATCTTATCATATAGAGATAGCAGGCATCGAACCCGGGACCATTGGGATGTTAGTCGCAACCGCTACCCCTAAGCCACCGGGTCAGGACGGTCAAAGCTTGGCACAACGATTAATGACAGATTGGAAAGTCAATTTGTAGTACACGTTATGTGGATGGATTGCGACGCGAAATCTCAAAGTAGACCGCGGTTCTCATTGAAGTGAACCGTGGTCAATTCGAGCACTGGACCGTAACCAAAGTACAAGCACACCCGAACGAGTGCTTTATAATGACCCTCCAACCAGTCCTTAACAACCGCTGTGACAAACGTTGCTCGTGGTGACCCAGTTGCCAAAGGGGCAGATGTTTCGGCTACTAATCCAATGGTCACGAGTTCGACACCTGCTATCTCTACCTGATGAGATCAAGTAACCTGGAGATCGGTCGTGGTTGTGCAGTGTTTTCGGGCGGGCCACACCCAATTGTCATCTGTTGAATGAAATCACACTTTGGAATCGCCTCCATTGTTCGGAATGCAAGTGGCTGGGGAAAACTGGACAACCAACTTCAAAGATCACATAATGCGAACGTGTTGTGCAGATTCGTTTGGGATCAAACAAGATGGGTCAGAGTAAATAGACCGAATTTGACTAAAAGTGTGGAAGGCAAGTGCAGAGTTTTCTTGTAACATGGTCCACTAGCCAAAATAACTTGTAGCATAGTGCGTGGCCAGCCAGTATTGTGTGCAGTGCGTCAAACAAGAGGTTAGGACAAAGACAGAAACGGTAGCGTTTGACTCGTGTGCACAGCATCAATGCCATAAATGACGCGAGTGAGTCTAGCTCAAATGAACTTTATATGAATGAGTGTTGAAGTATCGCTTTGATGCCAATGGGGACTACGATTAGATGTGATTAAGTAAGCATCTTCTCGTCCGCGGCGATCTCAGCACAGTAAAGCAATAGGTATTTTGTGCGTCCTTAACGCAGTTCCTTTTCAGGGTAGAGGCAGGCTAAAGAAATCACATCGAGACCGCATACGAATCTGGTAGATGGTGTCTGTAAGTGATGGTGGTCTGTGATCACACACACACACACACACATAATTGCATCGGTGACGATGTTCCCTAATGACCATATTCACAGCTTGGAGTTGTCTAACAAACCAGGTTTGTATACCGATGCGCAACACATTATCTCTAAGTAAAGGTGAGCAAGACTGGGCTGTCACGGAAAGTCCTGAACCAGCAGCAATGCTACTGACGCCACAGATGAAAAAGAATTTGAAAGAGCCAAACTGGATCCCATAGACGCATGGACTGATCTCGATTGGTGACTGTGATACTCCTGTGCGACAATATAAGTCTCTGACGAGCGCATCCGACCGCAGATGAAACAGAAAACCTAAGCGGTCGGGTAAACAAAAAGATTCATCGATCGATAGCTGCTGCTTCTACTTGAAGTCCAGAGTGGCTCGTTTTAGAGAGAAATTTGTACCAATTAGCTGAAATCAGGCCCCAGTTAGGATGGGGAGAGGAATCCATAGGCCTTCGCTGGTTAATTGCGAGATGTTTATCCGTTGTGATCATCACCACCCTCATCAACAGAAGTACATCGGTCATTTGAACTGATGCTTCGCTGTCATACAAACATCACGACCTACAGAACGAGGAATAATAAGAGGAAGAGGAAAACCTGAATGCCCTAACCAAACATTCAGGGTCAAGGCGCCTACACCTTAGCAACAACATACCATCACAAACAGCTGACCATCGTGCAAAGATAGGCGTTGAGCTTAGTGTTGGGCTCCGAACTAACTACATATTAGATGCATGTAACGTGGAGTGCAATAAGGGGGAAAAGAACTCACCTGGACACTGGCTCTTCGTTGCACCTCTGCTACCTGCGATGGGTCGTTGAACCGAGCAGTTGCCTTCGTGTCAAACTGGCCACCCAATTCGGAAGTGACGAGGGGGGATGCCAATCCGTCGGCTCCATGCTTCCTCTTCTCCTTGGTACTTTGTGGATAGACGGAAGACAGTGGGCGGAAAAGAACTCCAGCGACTGCGGCGTTCAGATTCATCGCGGAGAGAATGAGAATGCATCCACGCCAGGTGAACCAAGAGATTAGATGAGGGATGGCGATGCTGTAGAAGGTGACACCGATGCTGCTGCCAGCCATAACAATTCCGGTGACTGTGGCGCGTTTTTTCAAAAACCAAGAGGTCACAATTGTGGCCGCCGGAAGGTACAGTAGACCGTAACCGATGCCTGTGGGGGGGGGGTGCATAGTACGCACAAAACAGACAAAAGAAGATAAAAGAGGCACGACAAACAACCCAGTGGACACTGACGCGGTGATAAAATGGAAAGGAAGGGTGCAAACAAGGGGAAGTATGAAATGAACTAGATAGAGTTGCAGAATAGATTCAACTGAGTCGAACAAAACACACAACACTTCTGCAGTGTTCAGGGGAGGAACAACGAAGCCACTAGGCTTGGAGGCAACCAACTCCCGAGTAGCCCAACGTTGTAGCAGAACGCAAGTGGAGGCAGTCACTCCAGACGAATCGCACTGCACCACCCTCAGTATCATCAGCACGGACAAGTGAACGTGAGTCCCGAGACGGAAAATTAGCTCCATTCGGCACCGTTGTGATCGGGTCGTTAATGCAGCTCAATTGAGTGTTATCTGAAGCAGTTTAGCGTCCGGTGACTGACGCTGTGATTCTATACCATCGGCTGGGTGCAAGAATGACCAAGCGATTCATACCAAAGGGGATCAACGGGAAGTACTCGCCAAAAAGATTTGCAAATTAACAAGATAGCTGCCGTCGACCGACCCTGTTTCCACACCACTGATGAGGTTGGAGATGAGATGAGAGAATGCGTCATGTTGCTCCGTGTCAAGAGTGGAGGTGCGACCCCACGAATGTGTGGGTGTGCGCAGCACAAGACGAGGTGACACTTGTACACTGGACTAAGACCAAATTGGCACACGGATTCACACACATACCAGAAGTATGTGGTATTTGTGGACCAAACGCTCACTTAATACCATCGTGTACATCAAGGTTCAACATCGGTCACTGCGTTCCCTAAGTCAGTGTGAAGATGGACGGAAGGCGAATCAATAATCCTGGTAACAAAGGTCAGCCAGCCTGGAGCTAGCACGGAAAACGGTTGGCCATTTCTGTTACACCAAAAGCTAGTAATAAAATTCAGAGTGTGTGTATATTGTTTCGAAAAACAGACTTGAGGTGCATAAATGAGCCGGACGACCAAGAACGGATCGATGCATTTGCAAAAACAACAAGAGTGAGGTATGAGGAGAAGGACTTTATTCGTTTTTCGCTGAGGTGTCGGCCGGTGGCCGAGTGGTGTACGCGCCTGGTGCGCAATGATAAGGTCACCAGTTCGAATCCGCAATTGGGGCGAGCGTTATACTCAGCCCAAGCGCGACTGGTGGTGGTCGCGCGTCAGTGGAGCGCCGTTACGGCGTACAGCTGATGATGTAGTTTATTTACTCACTAGACAGCAGCTTAGATCGGGCTAAACTGCTCGCAGATCGAGCAAAATTACATGTAAAGACATCAACTCATCCTAACAGATCCAAATGAGCTGAAGTACGACAAGCAGTAATGTATTGTGTCCCTGAAAGTCCACGAAGTGAGTGGGATCTCGATGACCAAGCAGCTGCCCCGTCGACCCTGACCACCAAGCTCAAGACGGGGTACTCAAGGCCGGTTCAATGGATAGGAACGCTGTCCACTCGAAGAATTCGATTGCACCATCTACCCACTGTGAGTGGAACAAGACTGGTGGAAAATCCAAAAAAGCGCTGGGCACAACACAAAACATGTTTTCAACGTTTAATGCCCCATATGTCATATTGCCGAGGAGATGGGAACTTGGCTAATTGGTTTGTGAGATCTTAGCTTAATCGAGTAGTTGATGAACATCAAATCAAGTATCAAGGTGAGCCTAAACAGTTGAATGGAAAAAAACCCACCGTAATGCACTGAAGCGGCCTCTGGTTAGAAGCGTCAGATTTAATCGAGAATGATGCGGTTCTTAAGCTCAAATCTGAGAGTTGCCCAGAATCATGTTTCAAGGTCACAAGGTGTTACAGACAAATTTTAACACACTTTCCGGAGTGGTCCACTCCTTCGGTATTGTTTCGTGCCCACGCCAGAGAGCGCAAAAGTTAAGCTAGGTTTTGAGGGGAAATCCACCCAGTACTAGACGACACGCAATTTAACTAGCACAGTATCACAAATCTTTTGCACGCGGTTACCATGGCGGGCTGGCAATTTCGCGGCTTGAGTAGATTCACTTCCGGCGCGCGCGCGCGCGTGGTTGCTGTGCTAAATCCAGGCCTACGGTGGCCGTCTGCTGCCACATGTATTTGCTTTGCACCTTCGATTACGAAGCGCAACAGGGGAACCACAACCTGTTTGCAAGTATTGAATCACTGACGCCGAGGGATTAGACGTTGTCCATCGACTAGTCTGTCAAGGTGGTCGCAGTGTTAGAATTAGCCTACACACTACTACACAGTTTAGAACTGTCTGCCCCATTTTTGCGTCCAGACGAGGATTTCATCTTGCTTTACGCTTCGTTTGCACAGGGTCACCGAGAGTATCTTTAGTTTGGAAATCGCAAGTGTTTTCGGATTCCCAGTATCGTTGGCCAATCTAGTTACCAGCGGGAGCGAAACGAGGAAGAGATCAAGTTGGTTCTAGGCGGTGGCGATCGAGTTAGAGACTTAGGTTGGCATAAAATACGAACAACTGGCGTCGCGGTTCAGACACATGCGACTGGGAAAAGTTTTGTTTTGTTCCCCAGATGCTGGATGACACAAGACACAGGCAAAGGTAGGTGATGTTGGTCCATTTCGCTTCCCAGCTGTGAGACAAAACGCCGTGCGCTTGAAAGATCATCATCATCATCACCACCACCACCATCATCATCATCATCATCATCATCACCAGCACCGTCAGCATCATCATCATCATCAATACACGTTGGCCGAGGGTAAGAAACACATCTCAGCCAATGTGTCGTAATACAAACATGTAAAACGTAAGCAAGGTGGACTTAAAAGCCATAAAAAAGCAACATAAGGCTAACATCGCATATTGTTGGTTGTTGGAGGGGGGAAACTAAAGAGAAGAGGACGGACAAAGTGATTAACACCACAAACGCTACTGAGGTCGACTCTTCGCCGTGTCAGCTAGTGTATGCAACCAAACGTGTTCATTATCCTTCGGTCCCCAGCCCAGCAATCGGAAAACTCCAACCAACGCCCACTTCGAAGTGAGGGACTTCATTCCCCTCGACCAAGTCATGACTTGGCCTCCCTTTCACTTCGTCCATCCATACCCCCGGCGCGTAAATAACGCACGACGCGGGATTCGGTGGGCTGGCATGCGCAACACGTGGCCCAGCCATCGGGGCCTGGTGCGTGATATAATGGTGCTGAGCGGTTCACTCGCTCCTCCTGCACCAAATACGCGATGCCGAACACGCTCATTGCGCGCTTGAACAAAACACCACATGAGGTAGTGGTTCCTAACGGCACCAGTGGTGTTTTTTGATGAGACAATACGAAATGCGCGCATCTACCAGCGTCCCGCTTCTCACCATGTTACTCAAACTATTGAAGGGAACTAAATGTTCTAAATTTCATGATATCGCCTAGTATCTGGGCCAACTTCGACGCGGTGAGATCAAGGCGGCAAAGCAGCCGTGGGAGATCTTATCACCACACTAGGGCCGGTTTTTTGTGACCCTACAGCGCTGATGAGGTGCAGGAGCCTTGAACCTCAACGCAGTTGCGCCATCCCTTCGCCACTAAGTAGAGTTGTCTATTTTGATAGAAGCATACATGAAGCAGCGAAGCATCGGTGCCGTGTCATTGCCATTTCGACTCGTATTGTTTATGTAAAGAGACAGGGATAGGAGACAGCCGAAGCAAGGTCCTGACTAACAGGATGGGTTCTTTCATATATTGGGGCATGCTTGGAGCCGATCTGGGTGGGATTCCTCATTTCGGAAGGGTTTATCAACTAGTGGTTAATGTATCTGCTGGGCAATGTTTTGCTTTTGACACAAAAGCATCTTTACGCCAACTAAACTAGTCTAAAAGCAAGTGGGTAAAAAATAGCAACAAGATGTGTTCATCAAATGGTAATCACAGGTGTATGTCGGGCAGTTAGCTTTAGTGGTCCAACAAGAGGAAATTGACCAAAAAGCGGATGGAAAATCATCAAGAGCCCTATTACATTTATTCTATTCATGAAGTTATTGATTGTGGTCATCTCCACCGCCTTAGAAATCAATCTATTTGGAGTTAACCGTAGCCCCTCCTGAGGATTTCTGTAATTTCAGAGTTGATTTCATACCAGGTGCCCAGTGCATGCACTGCTGCCGATAAATTTCTTAAGATATTTTGTTATTCAGGTCCCATCCACGGTAGCTGCGACATGCGTCACCTATGTTCTAAAATTCTGGCCCTCTTGGGATGAGTCCTTGTGCTTAGCAAACAACCCCTTTTGCTACAACTTCCCTCTGAGATGGTCGCCCAAATGAGTTCCAGTTATCATGACAATCTTAATTCACCCACAAGCGTAGATTTCATTAGTGACCGTGGAGTGAGCGTAGGACTAAGTTTCTCCTCAGTGATCGCCACGCAGAGGTCACAAATAATAAAGCGTTGAAAGTAGCGCGACGTAGCACTTTTCATGTGGTGTCTAGGCTCAAAACCGTGTTCGCCCACCTAGGCTAAACACGTGAAAATGAGGTGCCGCGATGGGTGAATGTGGCTACCAGATCCAAGAAGCAATGGACTTCAAGAGAACGAAATAAGATGGATTATAGCAGTGAATAAAACAGACGCGTTCGCGTCGGAATTTACCGCCAATCACACCGAACAATCCAATGAAGGTGTTCACATTGGTGGCAAAGCTGCTGCAGAAAATGGCCGCAGAGGAGACGATTGAGCCGATCACTACCAATTTTCGTGCCCCAAATCGATTCATCAATCCGCTGACAAGAGGACCTGGGAAAGGAATAAAAAGTGATAGATTACATTCTTCATCACTAGACTCTCGAAGGATAGGATAGGTGTATCCGATGGACGAATTATTACCAGACACACGTCGGATTTGGTTAAAATGCTGCGAAGAAGTAAATACCTTCTGTCCAGTTTACCAGCTGGATGACGGCCTTAAGTGTCCTGATCTGTCGTCGCTGGGAATAGAAGAATCAGCAACGGTGAAACGAAGAGGAAAAACTGAAATGTGGAAAAGTGTAACAATGGACCACATGAGAGAACGAAAGTGATTTCCGGACTGCACCATAGCGGTTGCAACCTGACGTCGATTCCTGAGTCTTCTCTTGGGTCGGTAGCCGAAAGGAGAATGTGTCCGCCTTGCAACGCAGAGGTCTTCGGTACGAATCTGCGTAGAAGCGAGCGGTAGCGCAGTATCGCTAGCCCTCCGCGACTGGTGCCAATGGTGTGAAAACGATGCGGCGCACCGGTGCACTGCTGGTGACTTTTTCTTTTGTCTTCTTACTTCGTGAAGCTTCTTTGAAAACAAATCGGCTTCGTATGTTCCCCGCAGAATGTTAACATCCCACTCCTGACTCAAGTGCCCCACCATGCTTGTAGAGACTCGTACAGTGACGTCAGAATCTATTTGAGTGGAAAAAACAAAGTGGACCGGTTGTCTTCTCTTTGGCGCATGCTAACAAGAAGTTGCAGAGCCCAAAGGTTATTGATCTGTGGGTTTCCGTAGTGGATGAACGACAACAACATTCCGTTACACATAAATGCAATCGTTTAGATTGTGAAAACATGTGTGCTTTTTCCGCCGCAACCAAAGTTCACTCGTTGGTCTTTTGCACACTTGCCTTTCATCCACGCATTCCGTGTGATATTGGTGCATAGTGCCAAGGTGCAATCACGCTCACTGGTGTCGCCTAGGTTCCGCTTCCCGTATACTCGACTTGTTTTGGGTTTAGCCGGCACGAATCGCACAGTGTAATCCCGTGGAAGACGACAACAACCACCAACCTCGTCTAGCCACTAAGGTATCCTCTTCAAGCTTCCATGCTGGAAGACCACCCATGAAGATCCGCCCAACCACCTACATTTTGGGGGAACGATACATGATGAAACAGGCGGACCACAAACTGGTATGCCATATGTGTTAATCTCAAGACAAGCGAGTGATGCTTCGCTGCCACGCAACCACTACCAGTCGCGCTTGGGCTGAGGATAGTGCGAGATTCGCACGGTCCCCTCGCAGGCTCGAACCCGCGAACTCCGTAGTATGAAATGGGTTTGTGATCCTCCTGGCCAAGGGCCAACAGAAGAGTAGTCAACGGTAGTCACTGGTAAATGTGAATAGTACTTAATGGCGGTGACGTGAGGGGACGAGCTACCGTTTCGTTCTTTTTCGATTCGAAAGGGTCATACCTCTGAGCCAAAAAGTAAAGCTTGCTGCAATGGCAGTCCGGTTCGTCACTTGTGAGTAGGATAGTAGAAAAAGATCGACGTTCCAGCCAGAAGAAGAAGCGTGGATTGTGTTGACCACAGAGTTAGAGAGAAAAGAAAGGAAATGACAGTTGATGTGGCGAACTAAGGGAAGAGTGGCATAGGGTCAAAGTAGCTCAAACAGTTCCCTTCATCAGTAAACTTCAACCCCAGGTAACCCGGAACAAATATTTGCCTAAGGGAAAGTGTGGTACCAAATACGGCACTGACACATATACACGACCAGATCTCTTAAGGATGCGGCCCAAGTTTTGTGTGTGTGATATGGACGCGATTTGGTGAAGTCCAACATTCGAGCCACTTCTTGAGTCCTTTGCACAATCCGTATGGATAGATTTAGGGGTTCAAATCATATGCTTGAAAAGATTCATGTTGTAGGCATGGCTACCGAGAAACTTCGTTTGATGTCGCAGTGCAGAGTAACACCGAAGCACTTCCAATTCGGAGACAGCCCTTGTGATCGTAATGATCGAGGTCTACTTCAAAGTGAACCGAGGTCTGTATGGAGATTACGAGTCGTAATCCAACCACACAGCGGGTACACCAAATGTAGCTTCGAATTCCTTACCGCTATGCCAAGTGTTGCTCACAGACCTTAGAGCCATAGTGATCAATGCGTCGGACATTAACCACTAGGCCTTAAGTTCCACTCCAGCTCAGGCTATCTCCATCTGATGAGTCTAAACGAGGAGGTAACCGATTTTGGGGTGTCGATGTTGCGAACAGCAACATCAAAACCCCTCCAGTGTCGATAGCCCTCTCCTCAGTGGGTTAGTTATGTCAATATCACTGGTAAAACGCAACGTTTAACGTCAGAAAAGTTATCAGATAGAATAATTTGTCCATTGTGACATACAATGGAACTTTGCTTCCATTCCTCTGACTCACTCTCTCCTTTTTGGCATTGTTATTCATGTGTTGTGAGTCTCTGTGAAATGTTTACTGGGCAAGTGTTAAATAAATAAATATATATATATATATATATATATATATATTACAGTATTGGCCAAATTATTAGAAATAGTTTTTCAATCAGCAACTTTTTTCATCTTTCATCACATATCTCGTAACAATCAAGTGATGTAACTGTAAAATGGTTATATTTACCAAGAACAACATATATTGAATAGAAAATCATCAAGGTTTGTATTTCGTAAATGATACTTTGGCAATTTTCAAGGAGTTAACACGCAAAGGCACAGTATGTGAGATATTTTGTAAATGATGTCAAATTGGTTGATGTGACGTGTACACTAGTTATGTAAACGGATGGTTACGTTTTTGGTATACTTCGTTATTTACAGCTGTAGTCTACATTTCAGAATTACATTTGTCTGGTTTTGGATCAATTTATAGGTATGTTTAATTACTTTTATTGTTATTTTTCAAGGTGTCTTCTCAAGTAACGACACAACCGTATTGATCGACAGTTTTTGGATGGTGTTGACATATTAATGGGTAAATTATGAGACCTAACCCCTCGAAAGAGTGCACAAATTGAAATTTTGTTGAAAGAAAATGTTAAAGGAGCAGAAATTGCAACCAATTTTGGTGTCATTTCAGCGTCTGTGTCGACTTCAAAAGATATTACAAAAGAATTTACCCCTGTCCCCTAAACGTTCAGGTAAATGTGGTCGCAGAAGAGAAACAACTGCTCGAGACGACTCGCTTCTACTAAGGGAATGCCTAAAGAATCGCAAAGCATCTAGCAGACAGCTACAAGGGATGTTGGAACAGCATGGTGTTGCAGTTAGTTCGAGAACTGTAAGAAGATGACTTTTGGATTCTGGACTTCGAGCTTGCAGGCCTCTGAAGAAGAAAAAGTTGACCAAACAAATGAAAGAAAAACGACAAGAATGGGAAGTTTTATTTTCATAAGCGTTTTCCAGAAAAATTGTGTCTACATTACTTTTGCTGTGTTTTCTGCGTTTTTCTGTGTTTCATTTTAGGTGGTTTTCAGCGATGAGTGCATCATCCGGTGCTCTGACCAGCAATCTCTATATGTCCGCCGATTACCTGGCGAACAGATGAGGGAAGACTGCATCATTCAACGAGTCAAACATCCCACTCAGGTCATGATATGGAGCTCTATGAGCATCTACGGAACTGGTCGGCTCTCCATCGTCCAGGGTAACATGAACCAGCAGCAGTACAAAGAACTACTGGAGCACCAACTGATCCCTCAGCTGTGTGAATGGTCAAAGGAAAAAGGATTTACAGGGACAGGAGACTTCATTTTCATGCATGACAGTGCTCCATGTCACAAGGGGCGTGAAGTCACCCGTTTTCTTGAGGGTTGTGGTAGAGAAGTATTACCATGGCCTAATAATAGGGCAGAAATTAACCCAATAGAGAATTTATGGACAATTCTAAAGTCAGAGATGAAGAAAAAATTATTACAAGCAAGCAACTTTTCAGTGAACAAATTGTAGCGATCTGGGCTCGCAGTCAAAGCATGATTGAACTTTGCAAAAACCAAATTCACTCTATGCCTTTGCGTGTTAACTTGAAAATTGCCAAAGTATCATTTACGAAATACAAACCTTGATAATTTTCTATTCGATATATGTTATTCGGGGTAAATAGAACCATTTTACACTTACAACACTTGATTCTTGCGAGATATGTGATGAAATATGAAATAATTTAGCCAATACTATATATATATATATATTTGCACATATATATATATATATATATTCCATACCTACTCGGACTGAGTGAACAGTGGGGAATTAGTGTCAAAAGAGAAACGTTGCTCACAAACTATACCAACCGCTTGTTTTCAAACCTTTCTGAAATCAGTGGGGATTAGGTTGGAGCATTATGAGCAAGGCATACCTTTGATCCCGGACAGTGGCAAGCGAGCTACCCGCACGTAACACCGGCCTGCAGCGGATAGTGCGTGGTGCAGTGGCGGCTGATCGACCGAGCGACCGAAGAAGGAGGAGCCGGAAGATTGAAAGTCAATCAGCGCCGTGGACACAACTATCTGCTCACCATTGCAAGAAACGGATGAACAGCTCAGAATTGGGTTGGGATAGTGTGAACGAAGCGCAACTTTGTTCCAGTCAAGAGAGAAGTGGTCCAAACAGCTGCGAAGCAACGATGAGCCTTATGAACACAGGCAGATGGCCGAATAGAATCAAGCACCGAAAGTGCGCTTCCGCAAAATAGTGATACAAATTTATGTATAGGGGGAAAATGATCCTTTGTTCCTTAAAAACTTGTTTTCCAGATCTCTGGCTGAAATTCGTTTTGGTTCTCAGAGGGCTACGTAGGCAGGTGATATATCTCAACGTCATGGAGAAGAAAATCCCCCGCAGGAACATTCAAATACTCTAACAGAAAGATGATGGATCGTACTGCCCGAAACACGTATCCACCAAATACAGAAACTTACCAACCATGAAATAGCATCCCGTCAGCAATGAGCCAGCTAAGGTCATTTGCATCTTTGAGGCCCCGAAAGTGGCCTCAAGCTCGCTGAGAAAGATACCGTAGGAGAAGCACACGCCATCCACCAGAAACATGCACATGAAGCTACCCAACACAATAAACCATCCCCAACCACCGTCCGGAGGAGTAATGGGCCGGATTTCGTCCATCTCGATCTCGAGAACCATGCCATCTGCGGGTTTCTCTGTATCGCCAATGTTGCCTGTGCCACACATCATTGGAGTCGAATTCCACACGGAGTCTTCGGGAATGATGTTTCGTGTCAAATTGAGTGCAGTCGGTTGTGACTTATATAGCTGGAAAAGGAGAATATAGGCATTCAAATGCGGAACAAACAGATGAGCAGCAATCCTTAATTACTCAGTGACTATAAATGTAAAAAGCTGATCATTTGGCCTATGAAAATAAGCGAACACGATGGAGAAGGCTATGGAAAGCGGCAAGTGAACCTCAAGATGGTTTGCATGGAGATGACCGTGTTTGGATGGAAACCGGATTACTTTAAAACGTCTGTTCCAACCTTCCGCGTCGTCAAATGATCAAGCAGGACGACATTGAGTCCATCAGAAAGCCGCAAACCAATTCTCCTATCGGTCAACATAGGATGTCCATGAATTGCTTGCTATTTCGGTGAGTTACTTAAATAGGATTACCGTCGCTAAATTATTGATACATTCTTGACGAACAGCTCGCTCTGGATGTAACGGTACTCTGTGCAGAGTAATGGTGAGCACAGGGCATGGGAAATGCGATGTGATGAGTGGTGATTTAGTAACGTCATTTTCCGAAACCCCTGGTGCTCCGAAAACAACGACCCCATCTTGTGACCCAGAACCTAAGGAATGCGTAGTGGTTCATTAAAACGGCACAAGGCCAAGCTAATGTGAAGTGTAATAAGTCGGCTAGCAGTCCGACTCAGTGGTTCAGAAGCGGATGGCTGCCTCGCAAGCGTGCGTAAGAGGGTCGAAAACTGGCCCCAACCCACTTCAGTCAAAGTGCACAACCTACATGAAGCGCGTGGCCAGAGATCACGTGGTTAAATACGATACGGATTAAGTATGTAGGCGGAAACGACAGACATTCAGTTCAGATCAATGGACGATCATTCGGGAATCGAGGTGTGGCGAAACCATTCGGCATGGTATCGCAGCCGATAGTGATAAATACGGCAGTTGAAAGAATAATGAGAGACAAAACACAAACAAATGGACAGATAAAAGCGCAAAGGAGCCAAAAATAAACATTTTTAATCAGAGGATTACAGCCAAAAAGAAGCTGAACGAAATTGTCCAGCTGATTTCACGAAGGATTCATGACTGATCTAAAAGATGATCCCGAGAGCCCCAACTGGGGGGACGGCATCAGTCAACTGAGCCAAGTTGGTCGGTCAGGATTCGCATGTCCCTTTACCGCACCTCTGGATGGATACGTGGCATCGGATAACAGTCAGAGCAGGGACAGTATTTGGAACGCGATGAAAACCATAGAACTGCAGATCGCCAGGCCTCTTGTGTATATGACTGGTATAGGGGACCGTGGGCGCTATACTAAACCGATAAAGCCAAGTGCAAGCATGTATTGAACTCTGTTCAGGATAGCTGTAAAACGTATTGTTGGGAATAAACGTCAGTGGTCATGCTCTTCAAACTTGTCACTTGACACCGGCTAATGTGATTGATAAAGCGTTTGTTGCATGAAAGATGTGTGAAAAAGATACCAACATTATGTTGGAATGGCGATGTTTTAGCGACATCGAATGTGAAATAATCAAGACGCCAAAACCTCGGAAACCACATCAAAAGATCGCGTACCGCAGTCCAAGTGAACAGCTATCACTTTGAAACCCAAAAACGCTGTCCCACGACTCAAGTGAACAAAAGGGCTGATTGTGAGCATCGACAGTCTGGGGGTGCCTCAAGCTTCGACACGTTATCCCGCCCTGAATACTGAATATGGTATTATGGGAGTAAGTAGAGTTTAGATCGGCACAACCAATGAACTACTATCGAGAGAGTTAAAATACACATGTCATCTGGTAACATTCCGGTCATTCTTCAAGAGCCTGTGCAAAATATAAAATAATGTTCCACAGTAACATTTGACTTACAAAGGTGGAATATCACTATCAGTGGGTAATCGTTCTCTGAATCAAATGGTGGCGAAATGTAAATCCAGTGATGTTTTGACCCGCTGCATGCTGGAGTTCTAGCCTTCAGCATGTGCTTTGATAAACTGTTCCAAACATTGATCGCCCACCGTTGGAAGCATAGGAAGTGAGTGACTAGTTCAGACGTGGCGCAAGAAACTTGTACCTGTGTCCGCATGTGCCAGATAGTGCGTGAAGGTGAAGCATCAGCTTCGGTATGCATGAATCATCGAGATGTAATATATCATAAGCCATGATGAAATTGACACCTATTCGATAATGGGACGGGTGTACAGTCTGAGTTCCTCGCACTAGTCTCCCCACAATAAATTCCACAAGCTGAGGGGACCCTGGTAGCAATCTGTTGGTCTCGCTGGATCTGTGCCTCACTTCTGGTAGTCGGAGAATAGGCTTGTGAGTCGTATCCTGGCATTGGACTTGTGATGGAGAGAAAGTGGCGAGTAGGGCCCTCTCTAGACCAAGTACAGAAGCTGGGTTCGAGTGCTCAAACTATGCGTAGTCCGATTGCGCGTATTCTGTTCGTGTTGTCCGCGGACTTCAAATCGCAGCGTGATAGTACGTCTAGGTCCTTCACGGAAATGCGGGATGCGGAGGTCGACCGTCAAGGGTGTGGGTTCGGATGTTACCACCTTTCCCCAGGATCATGAATATCGACTTGACTGGGTTGGCAGAGAAGTGGGTTTTTGCAGACCACGAGGAGAGGTGACCGAGGTTTTACTGAAGTGGGTCACCGTTGAAGAGAGTGTTAAGCACTCTTCAAAGCCTCAGGTGGTCTGCAAACATGGCACACAGTGACCGGAGAAGTTGTGGGAAATCAGAGAAGTATATAAGTAATAAAATATGTTCTAGCACTGAGCTTTGGAGTACACTGCCGATGGAGAGATACTAGTTGGTCAGATGACCGTCGACCTGTACCCTCTGTAAACGAGACGCCCCGGATCAACCGGTGCAGTATGCCACTAACGCCTCACATCCTCCGCCTGTGGAGGAGGACTTCATGGTTTGCCTTATCAAACGTTTTGTAGAAATATATGTAGGACGAGTAGACAAATCCCATGGTTTATTGCTTGTAACTATCCGTTCCCCGATTTATCGGCCTAGCATGAAGTGGTGCTGTGTGCATGACAGAGGATCTTATGACTACAACAGCTGTAGCAGGCCCTCCTTCTCGAGCTTTTCGACTACCGTGGCGAAATTAGGTGTCAGACCAATCAACCATTAGTTGCTCACATTTCTGATGTCACTGCTCTTTGCAATTGACTTAACCACCATTTCTAATGGCTCAGCATTCGAAACTTCGGACAGTGACCTGTTAAACGGGTCAGCCATGATAGACGGAACAGTGGCTGATAGGAACTTGAGAATCAGCAGGTGAAGCCAATCGGGTGCAACACGCTTGGTGCCGTCGAAGTTGATGAGTAGCCGACCCACATCTTCATACCGAAATTGAGACTATCGAGTTGGGTAACGGCGGTACACGTCGAACGCGGCACACTTGGTCATTTGCAAGTCCGTAAACAAAGTGCGCAATCAACGCGAACATTTGCTCAGTGCTAGAGTCTAGGGGCTATGGTCAGTCGTAGGCTTCAGGTGCCGCTGATGCAATGACGTGTTACGGAAAAGGGAGGAAGGTCGGTTTGAGTCTCTGACGAAATTTAGGCCAGTATGTGTTCTAGCGGTTGGGAATCTTAAGCCGCCAGCTGTCATACCTCCGTCTGGTTATCGTCGACCATGGCATTCGTGACATAAAATTCGAATGAAACCGTGTTGCATGGAATGCGGGAGACGATAGGACTCCGCAGGTACTTCAACACACAACACATGAGAAAGTTAGTAAAGCCATTGAGACATGCAAGATCATTTGCTGTGTGCAATAATTTTCGGACCAAAAGCAGTGGCTACTTCGACATGTTAGATAATTCCATGAAAAAAATGATTTCAAGTGATAAGACAAAACGGAATTATGTAATTTACAAAAATACACCACATAAAATACAGTAAAAAAATCACAGTCAAACTAACTACTAACGAAGGTTCCACGTACTAATTCCTGACAACACAACCACCGGGGAAGCAAACGGGTGACGCCAATCGCAGTGAGACTGATGGTGATTAAGACGGCAGTCAGCACTTATAAGCGCTTTAGACCCCGTCCAAGTGACCGGATTGACCGAAGTTCACTTTTAAGCAAATCGCAGTCCAAACGACAATTGTGTATCGAAACGACTTACATGACAAGTACTTTAAGCAGAACCAACAGTGATATACTGACCTTTTGACCAAATATATTTGGTGTGTTACATCATAACAAGTCAGATTTCGTCACAGTCTCGGCCGTATTGATTACATTCTCACATTACGTCAATTGTTGAAGCACCGCCATATCTATTGGCGAGCCACCGTAGTCGTGTTCCACAACATCAAAGATGTATTCGATTCGGTTTATGGATGTGCCTTTTGGGGTTGCCGCTTAGGAAAGGTGTGCCCGAAAAATAGGTAAACATTATCAGAGCGCCCTTTAATATATCCAGCGGTGTGAGACAAGGTTGCCCGTTAACACCTTACCTTTCCAACTACACTGAGGAAGTCATGGAAACTGGGTTCACTATACCTGACCTGCAAAGTATGAAGCTGCTCCCAGGGGATCGACTTTTTTAGTTGGAGTAGGCCGACGACATTGCACTTAACTGTGACAGATTTCAAACGTGCCAAGTGACACTGGACAAATTAGCAATGGCTGTCAGTCGTTTCGGGCTATGCTTTGTACCCTCGAAATGCAGTCAGTCTCCAAGATTAGCAGGGACCCACTCCCGATCTGAGCCTTGGAGGAGATCAGCTTGAAGTTGTTGAGATGTTCAACAACCTAGGTAGCTAGATAAGCTCGTGGAATGGAAGATGAATCATAAACCGCATAGCAAAAGCTCGAGGCTCGTTTGCCAATCTCTCCCTGAAGGACAAAGTTTACAAGACAGTCATTCGTTCAACTCTCCTGGACGGTAGCGAAACCTGGCCCGTCAAGTCAACAAACGTTCGACCATCGCTGCCTTCGCGACTTAGCTCATGTCTGGTGGGAACACCGCGTGAGCAATGTGCGTGTCCAGCGTCGTGTATTTGGTGCAGGAAGAGCGA